TTTCCACCAAATATTGGAGCACTCAGAGAACTTCTGGAGAATTTAACATTAAAATTTGCAGAGGAACATTTTGGAGGAGAATTCTTGGCAGCTCTAGTCCTAAGTGGCCTGGGAGATATAACATTACCTGCATTCCACAGAATGGTACTTGGCTTTGCATGATCTGTCAAACTTCAGATCTGTCAAACTCCGACCATTGGCTTAGGATGAGAAGAGTATGAAAATGGTGCCATGAATAACAGATTATCTCATCTTTTGCTTAGGGTCTTCTGCTTGGCTCATCTGTCTGGATCTACGGTGCTCTCCTGAACAGCCTAAATTATCTTTCTGCTTCCTTGATTCAAATGCCATTAAAACTCTTCCATGAGGCCAGAAACAAATCACCACTTTTGTATTATGGCAGCCTTGTAATTAACCACTAGCCTGGTAGCCGCAGGTGACAAGGAATTCCACGTAGGTGAATAAGTGTGCTGGCAGAGAAGGGACAGATTGCAAGCAGGCTACCAGAGGAGAGAAACCCACTCCTTCCCTCCCAGCATAGAAATGGAGGAAGAGCAATGCTTTTAGTGCCTTCTATGCTAGTTCCAAGTGAACTAGTACTTTTTTTAAGGCTAGTAATTTCTGAGAGCTTGTTTGCAAAGCATTTCAGTAGCAGTCCAGACAACGGTCGTTCTGGAGATTGGGTGCTTAGTCCATGCAGACATTGGTTTTGACATTAATAACCTATGTTACTAGAACTGATTATTAAGAAAAAAACTGATTATCCTCCCAGTGAGGCTGAGATACATCTTAAACTGAGAGACAGTGACTAGCTTCAGATTACCAAGCGAGTGTCACAAATGGGCAGGATTGAGTATGCGTGTGTCCCCATTCCATTGCACCACAAAATCCAATGTTCTCTTACATCACAAACTGGCCCTCGGGAATGTCTCAACCTCAGGTATTTCCCCTATGAGGAAAGGTGGCAGCACTTGACTTTTTAGTTGCAGTGGTTCTCAACATGTGGGTCCCCAGATTTTGTTGGACTACAAACTCCCATCATCCCTGAGCTCTGGCCTTGCTAGCTAGGGGTGATGGGAGTTGTAGTTCAACAACATCTGGGGACCCACAGGTTGAGAAAGGCTGGATGTTGGAAGATTCAGCACAAAAGAAGGTACTTTCTCACACTGCACAAAGTTAAACTATGGAACTCACTTCCAAAGGAGGCAGTAATGGTTCAGCATTACCTGTGCATCTATTCTAATCAGCTCCCCCATTTTAACCTGGGTTTAAAAACAGACTTTAGGCTGCCGCTGGAACCCTGAACCATGATTGAGGCTGATAAGAAAAAGAGGAAAGAATTCATGGCAGACTTGGAGATGGGTAGCCCATAACCCACTCCCAGACTTTTAATACCCAATCTGATTAATTCCCGAATTATGTCTGCACAAGACTATAGAGTTATATAATGTATTTTTCTCCATTGTCTGTGAGGATACTGGGTACTTGTGCTAGAGGTCTTTCCAGGAAACCAAATGCCATTTTTTGCATTACTGTGGTTGCATAACAGTTACTAATTAGACTGCCTATTATTTCAGTATTCGGTATTCATTGTTCGCTGTCTTGCTCTTAAAAGAGAGTAGGAAGTTTTTCAGCTAAAGTAAGGGTAAGGAACCTGTGACACCTCCATAAGTTGCTGGACTCCAGTTCCCATCAGCCCCAGCTAGCCTGGTCAATAGTGAAAGCTGATGGGAGCTGGAGTCCAGGAACATCTGGAGAGGTTTCCCACCTCTGGACATTGTTAAACTGAGCACCACCACCTCTGCTTCCCCAAATTTCCCAATGGTGATGGAGGACTTGGCTATACAGCATTTTCAACATGAAGTAAACCTCCTGATCTAGCCTTAGTGATGACCCCAAAAAGGCTCTGTTCATTCACAGCCCATGTCCCTCAAAAATCCACTGCATTCAGGGTCTGTCTGGAGACAGACAATAGCTTTTTTCAGAGAGCTGAAAGTGGCATCATTGGTCATAAGTGTGTGCACACTCATTTCTTTTGACTCATTCTTGTTTTCTCCAGTCACACAAATTGCCCTAATTTAAGACCCCCATTCCCTGAGACCTTTTCATAATATGCATGAATAGCCCTAAAAAGTGTAAAGAATTGTGTCAAATGCACAAGTACATGAGCCTAGCTGCAGCTGGCCAGTGCTAGGTGTTTTATAAAGGGTGGAATAGCTCTTACTCAACTTAGTTAAGCAACTTGGTGCCCTCCAGATGTTGTTGGACCACAACTCCTATCAGGCCCTAATAGCCAGGGATGATGGGAACTGTGGGTCAAAGCATCTGGAGGGTTCAGGACTGAGCTAGGCTGCCATAAAGTGATTCTGCCTGACAAAGCTTTTTGTGCAATCAACATGCACTTTAAGTGATGGTACAGCAATTACCCAAATCATGCATTCTAGTGAGACATCAACAAATATTTTAAAAACTATTCCACTAATTGCCATTGCTCTTTGATATACTTCCTGCTCTCTTTCTGAACTCTGTAAAGGAATATTCCCCCAACTTCTGTGTGATGGTGGTATCACAACAGCTACACTGTGGGAGGGATTGCGACAAATTCCGAGCAAAAGTGCCAAGATCCCTATGGAGTTTGAGGCAGCAGCGAAAAGGCAACGATGTGGCAGAGGCAAATGGCAACTAGAACAGTAGCAACAATTGGCAGCTGTTTACAGTTATATTCAATTAGTCACTTTTAAACATTGTTGCAGTAGGACGTTCTTTAAAGTGTGTGATGAGAATAAGCTGCCTGATTCTCCAGACTTTTTATACATCGCACGCTGAACGTCTTAAGGTGCAGTTCTATGAATGGACACATAATGAGTTCAATGAGACTTACTCCAAGGAAAGCGTTATAGGATTACAGCCTTTAGGGGTTTTTTTTAAAAAAAGAAAGCTAAGTTTTAAAAAGAAAAACTGTGTCAGAGTTGTACATCAGTGGTAGAACATCTGCCTTGCATACACAAGGTCCCAAAATGTCATTTTGCCATCAAGGCAATGTTGGCATGGAGCTGTGTCACACGGCAAGGAACGAGAGGGTGGATTCTTTGGGACCAAGAGTCTTGATAACACTGCACCAGACTGCTTATTTATTTTTGCATTTATTTATTGCATTCATATCCCACCTTTCCTCATTTAATTCCTATAAACCCTGTAATGTAGGCAAGGCTGAGAGGCAGTAAATGGACGACGATCATCTAGAGAACTTCATGGCCTGAGTGGAGATTTGAACCCTGGTCTGCCAGGTCCTGGTCCAATACTAACCACTGCACCACAGCTGCTCAGAATATTCTGTCCATTTCAAATACTATTATTTGTCCTTCAGGGTTATGGAACCCTAATAGTTCACCAAGGTCCATCAGAGCAATAGTAGTTTATAGGATGAGTGTTGGATACAAGCCTTGGAGCTCGTTGAGGTAGTTTTGTCCTTCCCCTCTGGTCATCTCCCTGGTGTAAACACCAAGCAGTTAGCATTCAGTTTCAAAGTATCTCCTTCCTTCAATCAATGCTTTACCCTGCATGCAAAACAGTGTATGCAAATCCAAAAGTGCTTTCAAACAACCTGGGAAGAAACTCCCAGGTGATGGTTAGATGAGTCTTTATTTAATTTTCTCTTCCCCACCCCTCCTCCAACTTAGCCCTTGGCCGGAGGCATTGCAACAAGCCACTGATTTATGCACCATCTGCGATTAGGGGCGGGGCTTCCTGGACATGGGCGAGGCTTTGCAAAGAAGTTTATTCCTGGGCTTTCCCCATTTGTGCAACTTTACTGATCTTGCCTCTTCTCTCCATCCCATCTACCTGTGTATCCCCCCCCCCAACCAGAGAACAATAAGATATTGAAGAGGCGACAGGATAGAGGCATATCTTCGGTGGCAGCAAGCGATGGCAGCAGCCGTCTCCGTCGACCTGCCCCTTTAGCCATGAATGATGCGAGCGCTCTGGAATTGGGGACAGGGCTGCCTGAGGCGCGCGGGAGGGGGAGTCCGGCTGCCCAACGCCCCTCGGGCGGCTTGCACCAAAGTGCGGCGTTGGGTTACATCAGCAAAGCAAATGCGAGCCCAAGACGCCGGGCCAACTTCAGAAGCCTCCTTCGCGCGGCTGGCCATGGAATACGCACGATATGTCGAGCCGCTGACTTCAGCCAAGAGCTATTCGCTGGATCTCCTGGTGTTGTTTGATGCTGGACGGGGCGCGCGCGGGGGAGGCGGGGGAGCGCCAGCAAGAGAAAGGAGAAGCGCTCGCTTGTGTGTGTGTGTGTGCGTGTGTTTAGGTCCGCGGGCGAATCAGAGGCGGCGATGGGGGCCGCGTCACCGAGCGCCAAGCCTATAAAGGCATCTCGCGGGCCGTCTCCCCCTGGCAAAGAGAGCTCTCGGCGTGCGCTTGGGACGGCTCGAGCGCGCCCTCCTCTGCCCCCTGGCGTGCGAGCGGAGCTAGACCTCCGGCGGCAGGAGAGCCTTTCTTCTTCTCTCGCTTGCCCCCTCCACGTCGATTCCAGAGGATCTTACAGTGACCTGGTGGTGGTGCTTGGTGGTGTTGGAAGAGGAGGACGCGAGGGGAGGGCGGGAAAGACTCGGCGTCTGGATTTTGCACGAGCCTCTGGTGGCGCAGCGCATCATTCCACATGGATCTATCTGCCAAGCTTTGACTTGCCCTCGGGGAGGACGCAGCTTTGCTGGCTTCTGAGTCCCCTTTCTCCCCGACCAGCCTTCCTCGAACCCTCCACTCCCGGGGCCCTTGTCTCCCTTGGGTGCGCCCCGCGCCCCGCCCTCTCCCCTCCCCACCTCTTCTCCCTGGAGCAGCCGGCGTGGCCGGGGCCCCCCGATGTCTTCACTGGACTCCCCGCCGCTGTGGGTGGGGTGTCTCTCTCCGGCGTCCGGCCAGCGGCTTCTTCTTCTCCTCCTCCTTCTGAACTGTAGGCTTCAGGGCCAGTTGCGACTGACAGGCGGCGCGACCCGCGGCCAGGCGAGTTTCTCGCGCCGTCTACCTTGAAGCTTTGGATCGGGCGCAGCGCAAGGCGTGGGGAAGGCGCGGCGCCCCCCGGCTGCACCTGCGGGGCTGCGGCGGGGGGAGGGCGCGGGGCGGCGGCGGTGGCAACAGCTCCCTCCCCCGCCTGGATTGCGAGCAAGGCTCTTCTCCCCACCCCACCCCACATCGCCCACCCACTTCGAGGATCTCCGCGCCCCGGGCTCCACATGCATCTCTGAGCCGGAGAGCCGTGGATCCCGGGCGTTCATGTCACCCTTGGGTCGGAAGAGACCAGATCCGAGGTAAGCAGGGGGAGGGCTCTCCGGGGAAACAGCCCCTCTGGGCTGGGGAGCTCAGGGAGTTGCGCAGCGATGGTCTGGCTGGTTGAGGGGCCTGGGATGGGGGCGGGGAGAGACTCGCCTGCTCCGAGGACAGGAGTTTGGGGGCGGCTTCTCCCCACCTCCCCCACCTTGAGAACTCCGCCCTGGTTATTCTGGATCCGCCACAATCCAGGGGTCTAAACCAGCAGAGTCGGGTGGTAACATTTCAAGAGCGCCAATAGCGAGGGCCCTCTAACAAAAAGGGAGGGGAAACTTGCAAGAGTTAAAAGTGGCATTTTTTTATAATTATTTTCTTGGAGAGTGGGTTGTTTCTGTCTCCATCCCGCCATCTCGCGTTGGTTAAGTGGGCTCCTTTGCCTGCCGGGGAGGGGGGGGGCGTTTGGGAAATCCCCAGGGAGGTCTTATGGCACCAGCTCGTTTTAGAAGTATAGACTCATCCTCTGGTCATTTCAAGCGGGTTAGTTTAACTTCACTGTTGAACTTCTAAAAAAAATAAAAATAGTGAAGGTGATGAGCGCATTCCAAATAACTGTTTGGCAGTCGTTAGGTAGTTACGTCGGGCCGAAGTTGAGAGAAAGCCTTGTGGGATCTGGACAGAACTGGGGTCCTGCCCCATAGCTCTCCACTGGTGCGCCTCTGGCAGCCAGACGCAACGGTTGCTTAGATTTCTGGAGAATGCGCTTCTTTGCTATATAAGGCCACTTGCAACACCACCCCAGATCCAAATCAGTATGGCCGGGGTTTTCTGAACCCGGATCCTATGTCTATTTATTCAGAAGGTCCCACTGTCTTCAATGGGGCTTACTCCCAGGTAAGTGTGCAATTACAATAGCTCCCCGCCCTGCAGCTCTAAATATTTTGCCGTCGGCCTGCTCACCTGAAAAGACGCTTCCTCTGGAGAGCTTCAAATGTGGAGGAATTAAATTTGTCTCGTTATTTTCCCTTGGACCAAGGCGATATATATGGCTCTACCTCTCCCGCTTTAGTCTAACAGCATCCCTGTGAGGTAGATTAGACTGAGAGACCGTTACCGGCCAAAGGGTCGCCTGGTGAGAGTTTCAAGTTGAGGGGGGGGGGGTTGGAACACTTGTCAGATCCTCCCTGTTATGCCAAGGTTTTCCTCAGCTTCAAGAGTGAAGGGCGACATTTTTTGCACCCTTGAATAACAGTGCAAGCCAAGACATGTTTACTCAGAAGTAGGACCCGCTGAGTTCAGTGGGACGTACTCCCAGGTAAATCGTTCTAGGTTTTCAGCCAGGTTCGTCCATCCTTGGTGTCCCTGGAAAAAATCTCTCTGGTTTCGCTAGGATGTAAGGGGCTTAAGGGGTCCCTGGGGGAACTGATCCTGGAGATGCGTAAAATAAGACTTTTTCAGTGCCGTGTGTCCGCGCTGAACGGGAGGGCTGCGGGAAAGGCGAGTCAAGGGACCGTGCGCTCCACAAAGCATTTAAATCGCAAACCAGCTTAGTGCCACGAAAACCCTCAAGACGGCTAGAAGCTGAAGCGGTCGCCTAAACTTTTCCCTGGCTGTCAGCTCCGCCGCCTCACCGTGGGTTGTCCTTTCCTTTAAACTAGCAGCCTCCGACTAGCGTCCGCCGATCGTGTGGGAAAAGGAAACCAAAGCGCATGGAAAGAAATAAAAAGGGCGCTGGACGGGTTTTCCCCAGGCGTGAGCTGGGCACCTCTTGTGTGACTCCAGAACCGAGCTTGCTCCCATAATCGCCTCTCTCCAGAGGCCCAGAGTTTCCCGATCCTGCTCGTGCTGGGACGGCAACACCAGCCCCGCCGAGCCAGCGCCTCTTCTTGTGCCTTGAAACGTGTCCGAAGCAGCGCTTATCCGACGGCGACGCGCGCTTCGATCGCCCTCTTCTCCTCCCACTGGAAATAGGGAACACGCCCAGCACCGCCGCCTTGCATCGAGGCAGGGACTCGCTCACCTTTCCCCTCCGAGGAGAAAACCTCGGCAAAGGTCGGGAATGCTCTGGGAGCGTCGCGATCCCAAGGGAAAGCGAGCTTGCGTTGCAATTGCCCGAGCCCCCTTATTTCCCTAAAGATTTCCGTGGGGTTCGTAGGGGATCAGGAGCCGCCACCGAGCGACGCAGAGGCAACACATTTTGGAGAGGTGCGTGATCTCTCTGGAGAGAGAGAAGGGACACGATTCCCCTCCGGAATTAAAAAAGGTAGTTCGTTAGAGGTGTGGATCTGGAGGAGGTAGTTAATGCATATTCAAAGTTGTTGGGCACAGGTGATTAGCACCCTAGAGCAGGAGAAGGTAGGAAACGCCCAGAGTAGGAGCCCAAAACTGGGCTCCATCCTGCATCAGAATCTTCCCCTAATCCCATCCAGGGATGTTTTCGATTTTAGGGCCAGTGACAGGTGGGAGGGGTCTATTGCCATTTGACTTGGAATGGGGAGAGTTATAAGATGCTTGGGCATGTTACCCCAGAATTCAAGAGTAGTAACTCTTTGTTGGGAGTATATATGCATAAAATCACCAAAACAAAGGTCTAGTCGCATCTTAAAGACCAATAATAATATATTTACATAAATAAGGCAGACACTTTCATGGACTACACTTGGCCAGGTGTATTGGATGAAAGCTATTTGTCATAAATAAAATGAGCTGGTATTTAAAGTGCCACAATATTTTTTTAAAATTCTCCGCCTCCCCCCTGCAACAGACTCACACTGGGAAATGCCTAAGACCGCAGCATGCTAGCCTAACCAAGAGGTAGGCTGAAAATAAGAGCCATTCCCACAGATAGGCTTTTGTGAGAAAATCGCGTGCAATTTGTTTATATAGATTTAACCTGCTTGGTGTATTGAGTCCGGAATTGGTCAAAGGCATCTCTCTCCCTCTCTTTGCCCTGTTAAGAGATTTGCATGTGCAAAAGAGTATTGCAATAATTTGATTAGGCTTGGGGGGTTTTTAAGTGGTTTCCATGGCGATGAGGCAGCTTGGCTTCCCAAAGTTATACAATGGGGGGGGGGGAGGGACAGGGACATCCCTCCAAAAATATTGAGGAAAGGGGAGGGGCCGGATGCTGCAAACCCAGCAAAGCCAAAGTAGGTGTGGACTGCCCTCTAGTGGCAGGTTTGAAATGGTAATTTCACCTGAGCACTAACCGAAGCAGGGCTGCACAACTTGTGATCCACAAGTGTGTGCGGCCCATCAGGAACGTGGTCAAGTTCTGGTGTTTGCTGCTTGTCTGAGGCTGTGAGAACAGGGGAATTGTCAAGCACATAGGAGGTCGAGAGCCAATGTGGTGTGTAGCAATTAGAGTGTCTTGCTTAGGGCCTGGGAGATCTGAGTTCGATTCCCCATTCTGCCATGATCCTCACTGGGTGACCTTGGGCCAGTCACGCCTCTCAGACCAACTTACCTCTCAGGGTCATTGCAGAAAATCAAACGAGGAGAGGAAGAACCATGTGCATTGCTTTTAGCTCCTTGGAGGAAAAGGTGGAATGTAAGTGCAATTAAAAAAGAATAACTGCGTTTGGTTTGGTTACAAGGCCTGCCTGGAGAGTTACTGAGGTATACATGAGGTATGGTGGCACACCATAAAAGCAGGGGGGGGACACTGAAGGCATGAACTGGTGTCTGAATAGTGCATTGAGACTTTTTTTAAGTGTTGGCCCTAGCTGGGAGGGGTGAATGGAGGTGCCCTAGGGCTCCACTTCAGGGAGCAAAAAGTCTTGCTTGGGTCCAAGGCATGCTCCCTTTGAAGTGCATCTCTGTGGCTCAGCCATGGGATGTGAAAGTATGGCAAAGGAGGACAGCAGCTCTGAGCCTGTACAGAACGCTTTCCCCTCATCACCGACCAACCACAACCAGCCCTTGCAACACCTTGGCTGGAAAGCTATGGGATTGGATGAGGAAGCAGATTTCCTGGCAGGTATTCTGAACCAGAGCAGAACTTTTAGAAACTGTAGATTGCCAAGGAAAGCCTTGAAGGGAGCTTTTTGCAGTGCTTTTGCATGCTTAACTACCTCATTGCAAATAGGAATATATACACTGGCCCACTGATGAATGCCCTTGTTTGCAAAGGTCTATGGCTACAAGCAGTAAATACGCACTGGATTTGAGTGCCCTGGTTTTAGTAGTTTACATGTGCGGTCTCTCCTTCACTTTATTTTGAGAGCCCTGTGTTACTCTTTAAAGCTTGCTTTTTTTAAAAAAAATGAATGAAAATGAAACATTTCCCCCAAATGTTTACCACATTTAAAAGGTAAAGGTAAAGGTACCCCTGCCTGTACAGGCCAGTCTTGACAGACTCTAGGGTTGTGCGCCCATCTCACTCAAGAGGCCGGGGGCCAGCGCTGTCCGGAGACACTTCCGGGTCACGTGGCCAGCACTGCAGTAATAAATAAAGTAGGATCACAATGGAAAATTTAGCTAAATCACCCTATAATGTGTGTATAAGTGTGGCACTCCCAAATCAGCTCAGCTTCTGTTACTATATAGAATTCTATCACACAGACAAGCTGTCTTGTCTTGGTGAATAAATTTGCATAGTAGTCATTGCCAGGCCTTAAGTTCTTTAGGCATTGTAGCTATTGGCCAAAGTTGAAACAGATAGGGGAACTTTGGAAGGACCACAATGTGGTCAGGCCAAGAAAGGTGTAGCTTCTCCCAAGACTTCAATTCCTGTCTGATTTATGTTAGCAGAAGTGCAAAATTTGCCCTCTTTGAGGAATGCAGGTTTTTAGTACCAAATACTTAAGTTTTTGAGAACAACTTTTAAAAACCAGTAATGTGCTTTGTAATAGCCTGAGATTGCAATGGAGTACCTAAACACATAATTTCAGATTTAGGCTCATTTATTTGCAGTCTTGTAACCTCACCATAGTACCTCTGTTCCTTTGCAAGCCCAGGTGTTGCAGTTTCTGGTTTAGATAACATAAGGGCGATGTCATCGACGAAAAAGCTGATAGTATGCAATCTCCCATTTATTGTTACA